CACAATGCCGGTATTGCTGGGCGCAGAGTCTGTAAAAACCGTTCATGTCAATGGAATCTCTTCATTTTACCGCAAAAGACAGAGAAGAGAAGAAAAGAGAAGAGATTAGAAGAGAAATAAAATGGCAAATGGTGCTAACGCATGTGGGTATACCCACCGTCACGTATCGCACGTGCGCATACCCATTAATTTATACTACGATACAGTTCTTAGCCCCTATTGAGGTGGCTCATCCGAATGATGCTGTTTGTCTCAGACGTTATTTTGATCATATGTACCTTATCGCTAAGTACCATACGTGTTGTACGGACTTGATGATGTGATACAACACATATTTGGTCCATTTGATAGGTATGGAAACGCCAAACCAAACGTTTTGTATAATCGACATCCAAGCTTCAAGCTCCTTGCTCGCAAATCATACAAAAGAAATATACATCTTGCTTCTAGACCATAGGCCATACGCAACGCTTGGTCAATGCGCGGCGTCAGCTTGATACAGTTCACAGTCTGAGCCCACAGTCTGAGCACATTTAAACCGCATTGACTACCACTTAGAGTTATACTCGCCTCAAAGGCATACAGTGAGGCAGAGATTGTGATAATCTGTTGCCATATCGGTGCGAAAGATGTGAAAGCGACGCAGCTGTTTGTAACAGCAATAAATTTGTCGCGATCACGGTCGGCTCAGAACCAAGTTGGCGCATACTATGCTTTGAAGAAATTAGCTCCCAGCAAATGACTTCTTATCCTAAACAGAAAAAGCGGCAGCACGTCGCGGCTCTGTGGATTTCAAGCGGGATGAAGAAAATTTACAGCTGAGGTCTGCAGTGATTACTTCAGTTGTGATGGATGAATATGAATCGACAGTATTCTTGTGCATAGACGTTTAGAGAATATTGAACACTTGCTTCCGAGTTGCACGATAGTGTTGACGATGATTGTAGCTGCTGTTCAGCATAATTGAGTGAGGATATCAATTCGACAATTTTCAACTTGTGATGCTTCGTTCGAAATCATGTGAGTGGACACATCACGCTAATACATTTCATTATGGACCGGCTGGTTCTTACATCTCGAATAAATTACAGAATGGTTTTTAGTACAAGTATAGTAAACTAACGCCGCCATAGCACAGCTCCGAGCCAATGATTCGAATATGATTGGCTAACTGTGTCGAGCTGCGACATGTGAACTTTACGCTTTGGCTACAAGCATCTGTACGCATCGATTTTAAGCAGTTCGCCCTGGCAGGCAAATAAAGCTAAATGACACGATATTTAATGAAGATACTGATGAGGGATTTTGTCTTCCCGGCGTGTGTTCTACTATATAGTCCGCCACGCCAAATTGTACAGAACTTTGCAGAATCTGCTCGAAAACAATGCACATTAAAAATAGGGCGCTTAGACGCAATTCTGTCGACATTGAAGAACCGACAATCTAAGCACTTACGCGTGGTGACAACATCCTCGAATAGCCTAAAACCACATGCGCAGAGCAAACACAGTGCCGAAGCAATGCAACTCATGCTCTATATGCTTTATACAATTGTCTTGAAAAGATCTAGTAGGCCTTGGTGTCATCCAGATGCCTCAGCAAGCGTATATCTAATCTATATGGGAAAATTACAGATACTAATTGCTTTGCCGACTGTAACCTGGCTGCAGCTCTCATTAGAAGATATTAAATGTCACGCTTCTAGTGCATGATTCCATGGATGGGTGCAAAGACATACCAAAGATATGAGGAAGTACGGTTACGACTTTAACGTTAGCATCGCGTGCAACTAAACTTGCAGCGTTCAAGTTGTACTCTCGCAACGTTAGACTCTGTAGGGTTGTTGGAAGTATGAACTTTATGCTCTACTCTTAACACACCCAAGCGGATGCAATTGTGTTCAATATGATAATCTGCAAGTCATTTGGGGTCCGTTCTAACAAGCCCCCCGAATCCTAATCGTATATTGGAGATGAAGCAAGTCTTAACAGATCTATATACTTAAGCGACAAACCATCGTCCAGTCACTTGGGGCCGCTTTGGACAATTAATTTGGTTATGGCACCATTACAAGGGCGTTCGACAGACGACCGACGTTCTCGACGGACGCACAGTCAGCTTTGAAAGATCGTCTTCCCGACTTTACTGCTCGATGAATATGGCGATCATATTACAGCCGTGTAAAGGCATCTTGGCTCGGTAAGGTCGGCAGTCTATGCTACATACTAGGAACATTTCATCGTGAGAACTATAGGGAGTTTGGGGCTCCACTTCGGCATATTTTTTAATGGTGCACGTAAACATTACACAAATTTGTTATCGTGGGAGGAATCGTTTAATTTGTCACGGGATAAGACAGCAAGGTATTGTTTTCAACACATCATTCTGCTTTCAGTGTAAAGTACATGAGGATCATGTCTTGGGATTGAGCTAACCCTTTAAGCGTTTGAAAACGCGGCCTCTACGTGGTACTACAATTCAACACAATTTTAAAGAACGTAAATAATGCCGTGAGCTATAACGGATTTTTGCCTGAATATGTCTATTATATCACAGCGCAGTGGCAAAAATGATTTAAACACATTAGCAGAATATATCACACAGAAAACGTGTATGAGCATTTATCAAGTCGGTTACTGTTTAATTGCGTGAGCGCTATCCAAGTTAGCAACAATGAGACTGCCAAGAAGAGCGCCGAAGAGAACAGCAGCAACCTTTTTGAATTTGTGCCACTTTCCTTTTTTGCTTGCGCTAACCAGCGGTAAAATGGGCCTCTCTTTGCTGACAGAGGAAACCGTGGACGCGACGGCGGAACTGCCAAACCACCCTCTTTCTTCTGCGTTTTTCGAAGTCAACTTGTCCACACTCGTTAGATGACGGGTCTCGATACGATCGTTTGTATTGAGAGTATCTTCATTCTGGAAAGCTTTTTCAGCGCTAATGGATCGACTTGCTATTGCGACGTACGTAATCGCAACCAGTACCTGAAAGACACTAATGCGCATGATGATTGTCAGCTCGAGTTTGTGCCTGAGAGTGTGCCGCAAATTGGTTTGTGATACTAACTAAGTCCATGGGCCCTGACAAATTTACAAACTCAATTGTATTCACATACAAAAGACAAGAGAGATTTCCTATCGGATGGGCTGTCGTCAAAATCATCCGTATGTCACGAGACCTTTAATATTTAGGTTTGGTGCTGAACTGAATACTAAATCAGCTGTTACAATGTATCTGGCTCTTGCTGATCAAAAAAGCTGCAGATACCAATGTTTGAGCTTCGTATTAGATCAATTGCTACCAACAAGAAAAAGCATGGGGGAACGATTTCTCTGTCTCGTATACTACACGCTTGCACTCAATCTGTGCGAGAACACCTGCTTCTCAAAGCGATTTTACTTACCATCTGCAACGTTGGTATCCTAACCTCCAAGACTTCGTGAGTTATGTTCCTGACATTGTACAATCGACAGCCAGCAAGCAATTCTGATCCCATCGGTTCGTGAAGTAAGTTGCTAAACGACGGCCATTGTCACGCCAGAGTCGCCATTCGGCCTGTGCTTCAGCTGTCAGATTCGGAAAGAGATCAATGTTCATGGCATGATCGCTCTCGGTATCGTGCAGCATCATCGAGTCACTCACTTTATCATACCGTAGACGTTGGTGGCCACGAACAATCGACAATTTCCGATTTGGTTCGTTGGAAAAGATGACACGCTCACCGTATGGAACCTTGCGCTTGAGTGAGCGGCCAACTCCGCTCTGAGAGAAACCTTCCTCGGGAACGCCAGTGATATCTGCCAGCGTGTTAAGAAAGTCATAGTGTTCCACTGCATCATGGAGGATCAAGCCTACAGCATCTCCTAGTCGTCCTTCTGCAACAATAGTAGCTGCTACGCGCGTCATGGACACTTCATGAGTGTTAGTGACATCCGCTTCAGGTGCTTGACCATGGTCACCCGTGATAATAACGATCGTGTCATTTAAAATACCCTCTCGAGCCATGCGATCCATAAACTTGCCAAGTTCTACATCGGTAAAGTATCGGACTTCAAGATAGCGCTTGATCATACTGGCGTGCGGGTGATCGTTATAAAATCTGGAAAAGTCGGGCTTATCAAAGTCAGCGTACCAGGTTGGCCACGCATCGTATGGAGCGTGGCTTGAGATGGTATAGTGCGTAATAAATGACGGATTTTTAGGCTTTCCTTTCATAACCCGCTCACTTTGCTCCCGTGTCGTGTTCACAAGAAGGTCACCCAGAATTTGAAAGCTTATATCATCGTGAACGCCCCAATTAAATCCGCGACGTGCAGTACCATGCCAGTCGTCACGATGGATACCATAGTTTTCTTCCGCATATTTCATCATTGTTTTAACATCCCAGACAGTATCAAAGCCATGAGTTGGCAAAAAGACGTTCCAACCATCCAAGTCAATCGAAGATCCTGTCGTAAACCACGTCTTGTACTCTTTTTGCTTAAAGAACTGGGGCATGCCTGCCAGCTTGATATTTTTTCCACCACCCGTGATACCAGTCCGAACTGCGCTATTGTACGGAATTTGTGCAAACAGAATACTTTCCAACGAGCGACTCGTAGGATTACTTGACCAAATATTGCGAAATGCAACGCCGCGCTTGGCCCACCGATCAAAGTTTGGGGTGATGGATAAATCGGTGCCTTTAGTCAGATTGGACAGATCGACTGCTCCAACAAGATACCGCGAGTCTTGAAACCGAAATGACTCGATACCAATGACTAACACATTCGGTGGATCGTCACTTTTGACGTCAACGTCAAATGCAAGGTCACCTTGAAATCCAGTCGTGCGTCGATACAATGAGTTACTACCAAATAGCTCGTACTGCTCAGTCTGATGAATAAACAATTCCGCCCAAGGCTCGCCACGCAGTACATCACTGAGTGGAAGATCGACGTCTGCAGGCTGCAACGCATTAGCAAACAGCTCATTTAAAGTCGCATTCAGCGCCGAAGAAGCTACAACCGGTGAGCTTGCGCTACATATGGATATCACAGCTACTGGAAAAACAACTAGCACCGTTCCAGCGGCAGCAACTTGCACAACTTGACGACGGACATAACGTCGATAGCCCTGGCGTTTTTTAAAGGTCAAGAAGGCGTGCGCGTCTAGATTGTCGCACGCTTCGTTCAAGGAGCTTGAGCGCTCAACTTTTGATGATTGTATGGCATCATCCAGATGAATGATGTGCGGTATTAAAAAGTTTGCCACCCAGTACGTCGGATTCCACTGCGATAGATCTGTCCAGTCGGCACATGCTCGTATCAAGCCGAAGATCGTTGCGACCATAACGAGACCAATGGCATTGGCGTAACACGCGTTAAATTCGCCTTCTGTAATCGGTGCATCTTTGAGGTGCTCTCGTTCTCTTATGATGGTTGCGGCCAGTCCGCTACTGAACCTCATGTCTCGATGCACTACTAGTAACA